TTTCTCCAAAAAATGAAACCTCAGAAAGTTTAAAGCCAATGAGAATCGGTTTACGGGTACCTCTCATACAAAATTGTCGAAGTTTTAGTTGACCGATTTTTCACTTTATTTTTATTATTATATTTTCACTGCCTTTATTTCAAGAAAATTCACAAAAAATAACCAAAAGTACCTACGGACAACGCAGGCCAACGGTACGGAAAAGTTTGGGATTACCAATGTAATTCTTTTTATTTTACCATGTTTCTCACGGCTTTTGACGATAGCAAGCACTGAGTAAATAAATTTGGGCTAAATTATTGCAAGAGATGTCAATTTTAAACCTATTTATTAATTACCAACAAGCAAATCGAAAAAACCGGAATTACTCTCCATTCTTTTCGAAACCTCTTTCCCCCCGCTAATATCTTTTCATGTCGTAAGAATGAACTCTGAAATCAAAGTCAATATTCTTCTTTTTTTTTGTTTCTTCTTCAATTTATTTCTATGTTATTCGAATAGAGCTTAAATCTGAAATGATGGTTGAAAATCTCAAATCATGAGCTTTTACGCTAGAAAATGTTAAATGATTCGAAAATATTTTCAAATTCTGAAAATGAAAGTTTTTGAGTGGATCGAGTTATGAGTTCAATTAATGAATCTTTTTAACGGAATCAAGACTGCGTTTTAGTTAGTCTGTGGAATGCGTGACTTATTTCGTTTTTAAGCGGTGAACTCTTTCCATGTGCTTATTGGCATCACTTTTACTGGTAAAGCTTGTTGCACACACTTTGCATTGAATCCGCTCTCCGGTGTGATCTTTCCGCATGTGAATCGTCAACTGTTGTTTGTCTCGACGATGCTCTTTGCACAAATAGCATTGATACTGACGGTGGCCACATACATGTTCATGGGCAATTTTTGAATCTTCGGTTGCATATCCTCCGAAGCACTTCGTGCATTGGAATGGGAATTGGTCACTGTGTGCTGATGACAAATGCTGATTTAAATACATCTGCTGAACGCATTGTTTACCGCAAATTTCACATTCGATCGATCTTTTAGCGCCATGTTTTGATTGCATGTGCTGCTCTAAATGTTGCTTGCTAAAAGTTTTGTAATGACACTGATTACATGCAAAAAGACTTCGTTGGCAACGCGTTCCGTGTGCTTGCTTATCTTCTGAAGTGGCAAATCGTCGACCACATTTCGCACAAGCATTCGGCAGTTCAACTTTGTGAGTCATCGAATGTCTTTGAAGATCAATGTTCTGTGCAAATGACTTGAAACAAATTGAGCACACGAACGGTTTTTCCCCGGTGTGTGTCCGCATATGTTCTGTCAAATGGGTTTTGTTGATCGTTCTATATCGGCAATTGTCGCATTCAAATTGCTGCGGACTACACAGCCACTCATGATTGAACTTGACTGATTCTTGTTCAAATCCTTGATTGCATTTTGAACAACGGAATTGGCCGTGCGTTTTCTTATGACTGTCCAAAGCACCTTTTCGTGCAAAGGACTTCGAACAGACTTCGCAACGATGCGGCTTTTCTCCAGTGTGAATTCGCAAGTGTATTTTGAGGTCAAACTTTCTTCCGGTAAAATGATTGCACACATGGCATTTGTGCTTCTTTTGCTTTTTGGCCACTTGATTCCTGGGAATGGCTCGTTTTTTCTGCTTTTTCGCACTTCCCTTGCGTTTGTTTCCGCTGTCAACTGGTTTTGGTGATTGAACATTGATTGCGTAACCCATAGGCTCTTCGTTGTCATCATGGTTGGTGACAGCGCTTTTATTCGATCGTTCACATGGTGTCGAGTCCTTATCTCTGCCCGTCTCTTCTTCTTCGCATTTGATTTCATCTTTAATCTGATCGAAGCCATAGTCAAAGTCAATCGGCCTATCGTAATTCGCACGATATCTTCCATGAACTCTCGAACGTGTTATGTTCATGTCATCGTCACCATCGTTGGGCTCTTCCTTAATATCAGGCTCTTGCTTGACTTCAATCATTTCGGACTTTGGCTTACGCTTTCTGCGTCCACCAGGAACACCTTTGAATGGATTCATTATCTGTTGATATCGAAAAGGCAATATCAAAAATCAATAGTCAAAATTTAGAATTACTATTTAAATATCTCGATAATGATAAAAAGTGCTTCAATCAAATGCAAACCACGTGTCTTTGCAAAATATGAGCACTAATTGCACACGCTCATAAGTTGGGTTATGTGCAACCAATTTTCGTGAGCATCAATTGATTTTCATGATTGTTCACTTTTTCGATCGAATCACAAAAATTGCAATTTCAAAAAATGAATAAAAAAATTTTAATATTCAACACTCACGTTTGTCGTCGACCTTTTTCTGCTGAAAATGTTTTTTCCACGGATCTTGCAAAATGTCTTCTCCACTCTATGACTTAATGAACAATGACAAACCTCAGCATATCCTACAGCATTGATACTGCGATGCGTTCGCTTGCTATTCGTGTTGATGACATTTCGTTAAGTTGACAACGTCTCCACATGTACACACTTCATGTCAATCTCTGTTTTGAGCAAATTCGTTGCGTTCAATTCAAAAATTTCGGTTGAACAATGCAAATGAATTTCTAAACATTCATTGGTTCACTGAAACCGAAATAGTATGGATGTACAGAGATCGCAATCGATGTGATGAACTAAGACATTTTGGCTCTTATATTTCGTTGAACATTCAAAAATTCTGCTTCTGACCAACTATGGATAGATTTACCTTCAATTTTTCGGAATTTCATCACATATTCCATTATTGCGAGTGTCACTTATCGCGGTAGGTTTCGCTGAGTGATATAAACAAACTGTTACCAAAACAAACTCTTTCGCTATGCTTTTGTTGAAACAATTATTTGTTACTCTTTCAATTCGGAACAAATTGTACACTGGTATGTTACGCCGACAAATCTATGTTACGTTTTGATCGGCGATTTTTTTTGTAATTCGTTTTTATGCTCACGGGTTCAATTGTTTATACCTTGGGATTGCGAATGTGATGAATTTATTTTGTTGAGTATTATTGTCGTAAAATCTAATTTGAATCATCTTGGACTTTTCTGAGATTTCTTAAATCGCACCGAATATACTAAATGTTTATCGAAAGGATCATCGAATGATTGAATGCGAGTGTGAAATGCATGCTTAATTGACGTATGATAATGAATTGAGTGCCGACTAGCAACTGAGCTATTTGCTGATATTCCCGAAAAATGCTACAATTCAGCTAAAATTGAATTAGGAATGGATTTTATTACGAATTTAGGCTGATAAAGTATACGAATCGAGAGAATTCTGTGGCTTGCACAAACAATTGAAATGACATAGAACCACTCTGAATCATTCATTCATCTATCGCGTATCATTATCCAGCCAACAATGCATTGGGAAAGAGTCGCATAAAAGGAGCGTGTTTTTGTTTGCGATCGAAAATACTTGCAATGTGATTGAAGAAATGGAACCGATAGACAAATAATATTTGGAAATCAACAGAAAGTAAATATTTTGATATGGGAAATTTTGAACGCTATGAAAGTTTAATATTATCCTAAAAACGTGCAAACCTGCGAATAAATAAACCTGATCAGAACGCAACGTATAACATATTTTCTAAAAACAGCTTTTGTTTCATTCGTTAGCCAAGAAGAAATTGCTGTGAGAAAAAACTACGAAATAAAAGTCAACACTCTTCTCTTTTTCTGTTGCTATTTCAATTTATTTCTGTTTCTTTTTAATGAAGTTTATATAATGCGAAAAATATTAAATGTTGTTTGCAAATGATTTCAAATCCAAAAGCGTTTTATTAAATCTATGGAATGTGCGACTTATTTCTTGTTCAAATGGTGAACTGTTTTCATGTGTCGATCGGCGTGAGCTTTTGTGGTAAAGCTTGCTGTACACACTTCACATTGAATCCGCTCTCCGGTGTGATCTTTTCGCATGTGTGTCTTCAACTGTTGTTTGTCTCGACGATGCTCTTTGCACAAATGGCATTGCAACTGACGATAGCCACAGTTATCTTCATGGGCAATTTTTGCATCTTCGCTTGCGTATCCTCCGAAGCACTTGAAGCATTGGAAAGGGAATTGGTCATTGTGTGCTGTTGACAAATGTTGATTCAATGTAATTGGTTGGACGAATTGTTTGCTGCAAATTTCACATTCGATCGATTTTTTTGCTCCGTGTTTTGATTGCATGTGCCGCTTCAAATGAGCCTTGTGGACAGTTTTGTAATGACACTGATTACATGCGAAAAGACTTCGTTGGCAGCGCGTTTCGTGTTCTTGCTTATAATCTCGAACGGTGAATCGTCGACCACATTTTGAACAAACAATCGGCGGTCCATCGATGTGAGTCATTGAATGCCTATGAAGATCAGAGTTGGTTGCAAACGACTTGAAACAAACTGAGCACTCGAACGGCTTTTCCCAGGTGTGGGTCCGCATATGTCTTATCAAATGTGATTTGTTGATCGTTCTATATCCACAAGTATCGCATTCGAATTGCTGGGGACTGCATAATCTTTCATGATCGATTTTGTCTGATTCTTGCTCAAATCTTTGATTACATTTTGAACAACGAAATTGACCATGCGTTTTCTTATGATCTTTCAGATGACTTTTTCGTGCAAAGTACTTTGAACAAACATCACACTGAAACGGCTTTTCTCCAGTGTGAATCCGCAAGTGTACTTTGAGGTGATACTTGTCGCTTGCCAAATGATTGCACGCATGGCATTTGTGCTTCTTTTGCTTTTCGACCGTTGTATTGCTGGGAATCGTTGGATTGCTTTGCCTTTTGGAGCTTCCATTCTGTTTCTTTCCACAGCCGACTGGTTTCGGTTGTTGCACATCGATTGCATCACCCACAAGCTCTTCGTTGTCATCATCGTTGGCGGCGGCGCTGTCATCCAATCGTTCGCACGGTGCCCATTCTTTTTCTCTGCCCGTCTCTTCTTCTTCACATTTGATTCTATCCTTTACCTCATCGAAGTCATCAGCAAAATCGATCGGTCCTTCGTAATTCGCACGATATCTTCCATGAACTCTCGAACGCAGTATGTTCATGACATCATCACCGTCGTTGGGCTCTTCTTTGATCACCGTCTCTTGCTTGACTTCAACCTTTTCCGAATTTGACTTGCGCTTGCTGCGTCCGCCAGAAACACTTTTGAATGGGTTCATTATCTGTTGATATCGAAGAGACAATATCAAAAATAAATATTCAAAATTCAAAATAATTATTTTAATATCTCGATAATGATAAAAAGTGCTTCAATCAAATGCAAACCACGTGTCTTTGCAAAAAATGTGCACTCATCGCACACGCTCATAAGTTGGGTTATGTGCAACCAATTTTCATGAGCATCAATTGGTTTTCATGATTTTTCACTTTTACGACCGAATCACAAAAATGGAATCCAAAAAATGAATAGAAAATAAAAAAAATATTCAACACTCACGTTTGTCGTCGACCTTTTTCTGCCGAAAATGATTTTTCACGGATCTCTAAAAATATCTGCTTCACTCTGTGGCGCACTGAATAATGACAAGCTTAGCATATCCTACAGCATTGATACTGCGATGCGTTCGCTCGCTATTCGTGTTGATGACATTTCGTTAAGTTGACAACGTCGCCACATGCATCACTTCATGCCGATTAGTAGCTCCCTTCTGAGCAAATTCGTTGAGTTCAATTCAAAAGTGTTCGTTAAATTCATGCGAAATTTTTATTTTACAAAATCAAATGTTGAGCAAGGCTTTTATCAAAACTAGGATCGGTCGCATTACAAATGCTGGATGATTGTGCGATGCTCGATGTTCAATAGGCAACAGATACTTTTAGTAGGGATGTATTGCATTTAGCCGTCAATATTTACTTCCACATTGCAGGAAGTCAATGACTTAACATCTATTAAATCTGTAATATCGAAATAGAATGCATTCTTGAAATGTGCAATCATTGCGTAGGTAAAATACGATACCCGATTTTGATGCATTACATTCCGTTAAACATTTTAACATTGTAGTTTAAGGTACTTATGGGAATTCCTCATTGAGAAATTGCCTTTCAAAAATCAGAGATTTCATCACACGATAATTGCACATTGAAAGTTGATACGAAGAAATTCAGTAGAACATCGCAGTAATAGAATAGCATTGTTCTGAATCGCGTATGATTATTTGGAGGGAAAATTCATGTTTGCCACTATTGGGAGTGTCTCTTGTCGGGAGGCTTTATTGTAATAGAAACAGACGGTTGTGAAATAACAACAAACTCAATCGTTAGTTTTTCTTCGTTTATTTGAATGTAAACCCATTAGTATTTAAAATTGTCCAATGTCCGTGCCTCGGGAATGCGATAAAGTCATCTTCTTCAGCTTTGATGTCATAAAAATCGAATTGGAATCGCATTGGTTTGTCTTGCATTTCTCACATCGCACTGACTGAACTACTTATTGGAAGGAACATGCTCGTTTGAGATGAACATTGAACGATCAAACGTGAAAGTGAGACACATGTTTGGTTTGTGTGATCAAATGAGCGATTCTAAATTATTTGCCGACTTACGACTGACTTGTTGGTTGACATTCCTGGAAAAAGCTACAGTTGACCTAAATAAAATTGGATTAAGGCTGATGTGATGCGTTTATGCTGAATTAGTATGCAAATTGAACCGATGTACACATGATATTTAGATATTAATTAAAACCAAATATTTTATTACTAGTAATTGTGAATAAAATCACGCGTTGAAACTGTAACATCATCATTAAAACGGACAAACTCTCGTTGAAATAACACATTTGCCAAAAAAGGCTTTTGTTCCATTGAACTAATGAATAAGTCAAGATGAATTTTCTGCAGAAATAAACCGTGAAATAAATGTCAACTCGATTTTCTTTATGTTTCTGTTACAATTTATTTTTGTTTGGTTTCATTCAACAATGGAGCTTGAATCTAAGGAAGCTATTCATGAATTTGTGGCAATAAAAAGTATTGAATGATAAATCGAAATGATTTCAAATGGTAAAGGTGTTTGAAACGTATAGAATAATAAGTTTAGTTAATAGTTGAAGGAATTATGAGCGAAGTGTGTCTTAATAAGTTTATGAAATACGCGATTTATTTCTTCTTCAAGAAGTGAACTGCTTTCATGTGTCGATTGGTACTACTTTCATCGGAAAAGCTTGCTGCACACACTTCGCATTGAACCCACACACCGGTGTGATCTTTCCGCATGTGAATCGTCAGTTTTTGTTTGTCTCGACGATACTCTTTGCACAAATGGCATTGATACTGACGGTGGCCACATACATCTTCATGGGCAATTTTTGAATCTTCGGTTACGTATCCCCCGAAGCACTTCGTGCATTGGAATGGGAACTGGTCACTGTGTGCTAATGACAAATGCTGTTTTAATGTAATCTGTTTGACAAACTTCTTGTTGCAAATTTCACATTCAATCGATCTTTTGGCTCCGTGTTTTCCTTGCATATGCAGCTTCAAATGATGGTTCCTAAAAGTTTTGTAATGACATTGATTACATGCAAACGGACTTCGTTGGCAGCGCGTTTCGTGTGATTGCTTATCGTCCGGAGTGGCAAATCGTCGACCACATTTCGCACAAGCATTCGGTAGTTCCAATTTGTGAGTCATCGAATGACTTAGAAGATGTGCGTTGCTCCTTAACGACTTGAAACAAATTGAGCACACGAACGGTTTTTCCCCGGTGTGGGTCCGCATATGTCTTATCAAATGTGATTTGTTGATCGTTCTATATCCGCAAATATCGCATTCGAATTGCTGGGGACTACATAGCCTTTCATGATCGATCTTGTCTGATTCTTGTTCAAATCTTTGATAACATTTTAAACAACGAAACTGCGGCTTTGAGCCATGCGTTTTCTTATGACGGTTCAGGATTCTTTTATGTGCAAAGGACTTCGAGCAAACGTCACACTGAAACGGCTTTTCTCCAGTGTGAATTCGCAAGTGTACTTTGAGCTTAGACTTGTCACTTGACAAATGATTGCAAACATGGCATTTGTGCTTCTTTTGCTTTTTGGCCGCTTGATTCCTGGGAATGGTTCGTTTGCTCTGGTTTTTCGATGCTTTATTTCGTTTCTTCCCGCTGCCAACTGATTTCGGTTGTTGCACATCAATTGCGTCATCCATAGACTCTTCGTTGCCATCATCTCTGGTGGCAGCATTATCATTCGCTCGTTCGTATGGTACCGAATCTTTTTCTTTGCCCGCTTCTTCTTCTTCTTCACATTTGATTTCATCCTTTACCACATTGAATTCATACCCAAAATCGAACGGCCCTTCGTAATTCGCACGATATCTTTCCTCAACTCTCGGTTGTGGTATGTTTATGACATCGTCACCGTCGTTGGTGGGCTCCTCCTTAATCACCGGTTCCTGTTTGACTTCAACCTTTGCCGACTTGGACTTGCGCTTGCTGCGTCCACCAGGAATACCTTTGAACGGATTCATATCTTGTTGGAATCGAGAGAAAAATTACAAAAATCAATCAACAAAATTAAAATCGAGTATCAATGACTTTATAATGATGGGAAGTGATTCGATTAAATTCATGCCACGTGTTTTTGCAAAGAAAAACTACGCACGAAATGTGCACTCAGCGCAAATGCACCTAAGTTGGGTTATGTATTATCAATTTTCATGATTTTTCATTTTTTCAGCCGAATCACAAATTTTATGCTCGAAAATTGGAATCCAAATGAATAAAAAATGAAAAACATTCAACACTCACGTTTGTCGTCTCTTTTTTTTCTACAGAAAATATTTGTTTTTGCGAATCTTCCAAAATGTCTTCCTCTCTCGGTGGTCGAAGGAACAATCCAGAACAACGTACAGTGTAGGCCACAGCATCAAAGCTAATATTTACACGCTTGGAAAGCGTGTTGTTTGTGTTGGTGAGTTTCGTCAAGTTCTCAACGACGCAAAGTGACACTTCATCTCCATTGGTAGCTGTCAATTGAGCACAATCAGAGCTCAATTCAAAAATATCGGTTAAATTCATGCAGTACATTCTTCTACAAATTCCAATTCCAAATTCAATCATAAACTTCGTCCTGCCATTTGAATTAAACATTTGTGATAATTGAGTGAATGACAGATTGTCATTGACATTGACAATGGTGCCATTTAAAACTCTGTCGACGTTAATGTTTTACTAAATATTCATTGAGTCTTGACAACGAAACTGAATGGATGGCCGAAAATGGAAAGCGATATCAATGCCAAAACGATGGATATGTTGGTGACGGCATTCTGCGTGATTGAAACATTTAGTTGTTAAGTAATAAAAAACTCGCTGATTTTGAAGTGTAAATAAGTTAGTATCGCAGAATTATGCATGTCTCGCGAACACAGCAAATACTATATCTAACTCTGGCTCAACAAATGCATCGAATTAAGATGAAAACAAAATAGCTCACGACACATGTAATTATCAACCCGGCTAACGACTTGGCTTACTAAGATTTATGAAGTAAAAATGCTATAACATTACAAAATAAAATCGAATTGAGGCTGATGAGATTGAATCCATTATGATTTTGTGCGGGAAAATGATGTGAATTCAGTTCATTGTGGCTGTTTGAAACAACTGAAATCGCACAGAACCTATCGCACTCTAAGTCGTTCATTTATACGTTGTTGTTATTCTTTTGCAATGGAAAATATCTGCTGTTCAGAGTGTGATATTTCTTGAAGTGTCGGCAAGGAATTGAGTAAATGGACGAGTAACTAGAAAGCAATTCAAATAAGAGCTATGGACGACATACTTTGAATTTTCCAAAAGCATTTGTGTCTCTCGCTGGCCAGGAAATTCGCTGCAAAAATAATCTCAGAAATGAAAAGCAACATTCTTCTCCTTCTCCTTCTTCTTCTTTTTTTATTCCGGTTCCAATGTATTTCTGTTCTGTTTCATTCAAAAATGGAGCTCAAATCGATATCAGTGTTACTGAATATTTTATGATTAGAAAATATTGAATGATAATTTAAAATAATTTCGAATTCATCTAAATGGATGTCTAAATCTAGATAGTCTTTCAAGTTGAAAGTTTCAAACGGATCAAGCTCTGACTCAATTGATTTATCTATTAAAAGGAATAATGAACAATTCATTGAAAACTTGACCACTTTTCAACGAATGAGATGGGTGGTTTATTATTTCTTCAAACGATGAACTGCTTTCGTGTGTTGATCGGCATGACTTTTCTGGACAAAGCTTGCTGCACACACCTTGCATTGAATCCGCTCTCCGGTGTGATCTTTTCGCATGTGAATCTTCAGGAAGTATTTGTACCGCCCATATTCTTTGCACAAATGGCATTGGTACTGACGGTGGCCACATACATCTTCATGGGCAATTTTTGCGTCTTTGCTTGCGTATCCTCCGAAGCACTTGGAGCATTGGAATGGATATTGGTCGCTGTTTGCTGATGATAGATGTTGATTTAGTTTGATCTGTTGGACGAACTGTTTGCTGCAAATTCCACATTTGATCGATCGTTTTGCTCCGTGTTTTGATTGCAAGTGTGTCTTATAATTAGTCTTGTGAACAGTTTTGCAATGACATTGATTACATGCGAAGGGACTTCGTTGGCAGCGTGTTTCGTGTGCTTGCTTATCGTCTCGAGCGGCGAATCGTCGACCACATTTGGAACAGGCATTTGGCAATTCGTCTTTGTGAGTCATTGAATGAATTCGGAGATTAGAGCTGCATGTAAACGACTTGAAACAAATTGGGCACTCGAACCGCTTTTCTCCTAAGTGCACCTGCATATGTCTTTCCAAATTTGGCTTTTGCAATGCTCTGTATCCGCAAATATCGCATTCGAAACGGAGAGGATCGCATAGTCTTTCATGATCGATCTTGACTGATTCTTGTTCAAATCCATGATTACATTTTGAACAACGGAATTGGCCGTGCGTTCTCTTATGCTTGTTCATATTACTTTTTTGTGCAAACGACTTCGAACAAACATCACACTGATACGGCTTTTCTCCGGTGTGAGTTCGCAAGTGTGTTATGAGGTGGGACTTGTCACTTGCCAAATGATTGCACACATGACATTTGTGCTTCTTTTGCTTTTTGGCCGCTTGATTCCTGGGAATCGCTCGTTTGTTTCCTCTTTTGGAGCTTCCATTCCGTTTCTTTCTACTTCCGACTGACTGCGGTGGTTGAACATCGATTGCATCACCCATATGATCTTTGTTGTTACCTTTGTCGACAATGCTCCCATTCGTTCGTTCACATGGTGTCGAGTCCTTTTCTTTGTCCGTCTCTTCTTCTTCACATTTGATTTCTTTCTTTACCTCATCAAAGTCATACTCAAAATCGAACGGTACTTCGTAATTCGCGCGATATCTTCCATTAACACTCGGTCGTGGTATGTTCATGATATCATCACCGTCGTTCGGCTCTTCTTTAATACCAGGCTCTTGCTTGACTTCAACCTTTGCCGACTTTGACTTGCGCTTTCTGCGTCCACCAGGAACACCTTTGAATGGGTTCATTATCTGTTGATATCGAAAAGACAATATCAAAAATCAATAGTCAAAATTTAAAATAACTATTAAATGTAAACCACGAATGTCTTTGGAAAAAATATGTGCACTCATCGCACACGCTCATAAGTTGGGTTATGTGCAACCAATTTTCATGAGCATCAATTGATTTTCATGATTTTTCTCTTTTACGACCGAATCACAAAAATTGCATAGAAAAAATGAATAGAAAATAAAAAAAATATTCAACACTCACGTTTGTCGTCGACCTTTTTCTGCTGAAAATGATTTCTCACGGATCTCTAAAAATATCTGCTCCACTCTGTGGCTCACTGAATAATGACAAGCTTGGCATATCCTACAGCATTGATACTGCGATGTGTTCGCTTGCTATTCGTGTTGGTGACATTTCGTTAAGTTGACTGTGTCGCCATATGCACACACTTCATGCCGATTGGTAGCTCTCTTTTGAGCAAATTCGTTGCGTTCAATTCAAAAATTTCGGTTAAACAATGCAAATGAATTTCTAAACATTTATTGATTCACTGGAACCGAAATAGTATTGATGTACAAAGATCGCAATCGATGTGATGAACTAAGACATT